CCCAGAAGCTGTAGGATAAGGCCTTTGCTATGTTTACTGATCAACTAACCATTTGAAAAACCTTACTGTCAAGACTTGTCTTCCAGCATGATTCGTAGGGCGGTAAAGCTGAATTACTCCGAGATTGATATCTGGTTCAGTTTCAAGATTAAGGATGTCCTACCAGAATATATTTCTTATTCTGTTAACTGCATGGTGGAAGTCAGCCTTAAGACAGATGTGCCCGGAGGGCTGTCTTCTTGTAAGACCAACACAGCTGCTAAAGATTGGGTTTCATGGTTATCCTTCTTCTAGATTAAAGAATAAAAAGGTTATCTGTCTTGTTGAATATTTCATTTCTGATATGAGATCAGCAGGTGACAAAGCCTATGCCTTTCATTCCATGGCTTACAGGGTGTTAAGATTGAAGAAAAGAAGAGTAAATAGGGGACGAATGAAAGGTGTTAATATCAGAATCAAATGCTAGTATCGTATTAAACATTATACTATATGCAGGTGTGTGGTATTCTACAATTATATGAATGATAAGATAATTTTCTAAAGTTAAATACATTTTTTTTTTTAAATGTTCAAAATCAAAAGAGTAGGGAAAACAAAGAAAGGCTAAAAAGTTGTTGATATACAAAAAAAAACTTTGTGCTTTATGAGATGATTATGGGCAAATAGGTCAGTGAAGATAAGGGATTCAGCTAAAGTAGTATAAATTTTATATTTTTATTTTAAATTAAAAATATTATTTTGGTCCAAATTAATCATAAATTTACTTTTGATTTAATAATTAAAAAATAAAAAAATTAAATTAATAAAAGTAAAATTTTATTTTTTAATATATTTTAGTATAATACGTGAGAATCCACTAATTTTAACAAAATTATTAAAATTTCCAACGGACACATAAGATGATTTATATATATAAAATAATTCCAAATACGTGACAATTCCACTTTTCATTGCTAAGGCATTCTCCTTGCCTGCCTACTTCTTTGGCTCGGCCGCCATGGACGTTCTTAATGACTACTATATATAATATGTAAATATATATAAATCTCGCCATTTTACTGTACTTACTATTGACTTATACTATTCATGATAGGTTAAATGTATCTTGACTTTAGTGTAACACATATATATTTGTTTAAAGCAAGGGACTTGAAATTATATTATCAATTCCCCATTCTTTCTGACAAAATTTTCCTCTTTGTCAAAGAAAATTAAATATGGATGTCTTCATCGTTTAATGTTTCAAGGCTATATACACAAAATTATTTTTTTGAGACTTTATAACTCAGTTCTACGAGATGATATCATGGAGATAAAAAATATATATAAATATTGAAATTTAAATTTTATATTTATTAAATGATATATATAACTTTTAATTTTATTATTTATCTGATTACAAAAAATATTATGTGCATAAATTAATTTAAATTCATAATTTTTAAATATCAACTTAAAAAAATTTCAATTAATCTAAAAATAATTAATTTAAATAATATATTTTAAAAATAATTATATAAAACAATTAAATTAATTCTCGATTCAAAATATCATGTGAGAGATTTACATCAATCTTGTCTTTTGGTAATCTATTTAAACTTTTAAAGAATGCAACTAAAAGCTAAAAGCAGCAGCTGCAGCAGCAGCAGCGGCACTCTTTGATTATGTAGTTAGATTCAACGGCGGAGAGGGTAGTCAAAGACTAACGGTGCCGACCCTGAATTTTCCCTTTCGCAAGAAAGTTTTGAGTTTGGACCCAAAGTATCTGATTCCACTCTTTTGTTTCGTACAGTTTTGTTTTGTCCTGTAATAAATTCAAAAGACGGTGCCAATCGGCAGCCTAAACCTTTAAAACTTTTATTCATAGACTAGGTGATAGTTGTCAGTAATCAAAGTGATCGGTTGAATGTGCTTGTAATAGTAAAATCAAACAACCAATGAACAGATTCCACATCAAGAAGATAAAATCATGGATTAAGCACTAAAATATGTGGAAATTACACCACTTTTATAAAAAAAAAAGGGTCGAAAATTATAATAAGATGATTAAGATTGACATTTGACCTCAAAAAAGACATAAGCACATAATTATTAAAATCGGATCAAACTTAAAATTATTTAAAATTTCGAATCATTATATTAATGAATCAATTATTAGTTTAATTAAAAAATATTTTAGAAATATAAATATTTTAAAATTTTAAACTTCAAATTTTTAATTAAAATTTTAATTTAATAATTCAATCATAAAATTAATAATTTTAATATATATCATAAAGTACAAATTTTAAAATATAAAATTCATAGAACAATTAATTACTAATTAAAAATGAAATTATTTAACATTTTATTAAAATCATATTTTATATTTTAATAGTTAGAAATAATATTTATATTTTAATAAATAATTATAAATAATTATTATTTATATTTATTAAAATATAAATATTATTTATTAATATATAATAATTAATCTTTATGTAATAAAAAGAAATATTTATATATAAAATTAATAAAAAGAAAATATTTATATTTATATGAAAATTAGTAAAAAAAAATTAAAATCAAATTTATATTTTTATATGAATGTAGATTTTTTTGTTAATTTTACATATATATTTTCTTTTATTAATTATTTTTTACCATAGTCAAATAATTAATCATTTTTATTAACATTTTATTTTTTATTAATTTTATATATTATTAATTTTATAATTATTTTTAATTATGGTATCAATTAATAAAATTTTTTGTTAGATCATTTTTTTTTTAAATTACTTATTTTTATACATGTATAAGTTTTTTATAATATTATTATACACGTGTCAAAATATGCTAATGTATAATTAATATAAAGATGCAAGGGTTTTGATAGTAAAAATAAGAAATTAAAGGCTTATTTAGATGAAATAGTAATATAATGGTTTAATTAGATTATTTTGACTACTTGAAGGATTTTTTTTATATGTTATCTAAATTTATAAATTGGTATTAAACCAGTTCGATTTAAAAAAATAATTTGATTTATTAGTTTATTATGTAAACCATCAATTCATAATGGTTTAAAGTAGTTTAATTATAAAATCAATTAATTATAAAATCAAACTGGTTTTAATAATGATTTACCTAGTCGAACCAGCGGTTCGATTTGGTTCTGATAACTATGTATTAACATATTATAGATATTGTATATGTTTAAATGTATTTTTATCGATTATTTTTTAAATCAATTGATCTATAATTAAAATTAGTATTTAAAGGTTGTAGATTTAAAAAGGTTTATATCTTTAATTTTTTTCTTTAGCTAAGTAAATAGTAAAATAAAAAATTTAAGAATAAATTAAAAATTAAAAAAATATATTTTTAAAATTGTTTGAAAGTAAATAAATTCAAATAAAATTTGAAAATATTTTGATGATATTAATTAAAAATAATAGTTAAAATTAATAATATCCAATTTACTATTTCCACTACATGGGAATTGCGTAGACGGAAAGTCGCTCTCCATCGCCATCCACCCATCCACCCACCACCACCGACTTCTCTTCTTTTTCCGACTTAAACTTGTGACCATTTCTTTTTCTTTCTCGCCTTCTCAACTTGGATCCCACTTGCCTCAAAACATTTTCATCCAATAACAAACAAAGTAATATCTAGTTATTTCAGTTAGACAAAAAGCAACTTTTTTTTCCCTTTTCTGAACGAGATTAATTAACAAACATAGCTTATATAAAATTGGAGAGTGATAAATTATTTTGGATGTCGAAAATATAGTTAATTTGATGAGAAAAAAAACATAATTAATTTATTTACAAAGTTTTAAAGTGAGTATTGTGAAAATAAATAAAAATTATTATTTTTATAAAAAATAATAATTTGAAAATAATAATAAAAAATTATAAATATTAAAATTTAAATTTTAGACTAATGTTATTTTTTAAAAATAATTGTATCAATATAAATTATATATAAAATAAATTATAATTCACAAAAAAAACAAAAACCCTCCCAAAGTTTTGTTTAAAATATACTTGACTCTGTTTGTTTGAAAAATTCCGTCGATATTGATGTCTTTCTAATATATATTGTAACTCAACTTTTTTTAGCATCTCTTATATATATATATATATATATATATATATATATATATATTATAACTTAGCTTAAATCTATACTCAAATATCATCCCCACTTTTGTGACATAAATTAATTCTAAATGACATATCATTGGTTTTTGAAAGAGAAGGAAATATATTTTTTAAGAAAAGGAAAATAAGTGTATTTTCACTAACCTTAGGATTGAAATAATTATTGCTTCGAAGAATAATCTTCATTGAAGGTTTGGCCAACTGCTATATATATGTTAGCTTTCAAATAAATTTGTACATGTGACATATCTCAAACCGGTGAAATTATGGTAAAACTAACTTGTGAGTATTGAGTTTATATTTGATACATTATCAGTGTATAAATTTTAAATATTATCAATAAATCAGATGATATTATTTCGTTAATAAACAAATATTAACCCTTAAAATAAGTATACAAAAATTAATATTTTTTTAAAAATTTATTTATTAATGAGATAATATCTTTTTATTTACTTTATTAATAAAATATCATTATCTAATTTACTGACAATATATAAAATTTATATATTAATATTACATCAAATATAAATCTTAATTAATTTATGAGAATACCATCACGTTAATGATATAAAAACTTTTTTATTTTTTATTTTTTGCGTTTTGGGTAAATTTCCAAACATCCTTTCATGGTTCATTCTCACGAAGAGAAAGCAAGGGGGTCTACTAAATTACTAATACTATATATAAAATTTGTAGACTTTATAATAGAAAGAGGAAGAGATGAAGCTGATGGATTTTGTCGGCCAAATTTGGATTTTTCTTTGAAAGAAGATCAACGTGGCGGCCGTCCCCAGACGACACACTAGCAGCCAAGTGGGAAACTAATGCTTCTTCGCTTTGCATTCCCTTCCCTATCTCTCCCTTCGTATACTATATATCTTTCTCTATTTATATATATAATAGAGAATACAGCTTTTGAAGTAAGGGGTATTCTTTGATTAAAAGTAGCTAGAATCTTCTTCTTCCTCTTCTTGTTTTTGTTATGGGTTACAAGTTGTATAGTCTCTAGAAACTAGGGCAAAATTTTTCATAAAAGGGTTTAGTTTAGTTATTTTAGGACCCTTATTAATTTAGGTGTAACTGTTTTTTTTTTTTTTAATCATGGAAGGTGATTGTTGTTCAACTTCAAGTTCAACAAGCGGAGAGAAGAGGAAGCAAAGGCAACAACAAAAAGAGAAACCATTCAGAGGGATAAGGATGAGGAAGTGGGGGAAGTGGGTGGCTGAAATCAGAGAACCAAACAAGAGGTCTAGGATTTGGCTCGGCTCTTACACCACCCCTATAGCTGCTGCTCGTGCCTATGACACCGCCGTTTTCTACTTGCGTGGCCCCTCTGCTAGGCTCAACTTCCCTGACCTCATATTCCAAGAAGACGACCTTAGTGACATCTCGGCGGCTTCCATACGCAAGAAAGCAACAGAGGTTGGGGCTAAAGTCGACGCTTTACAGACCTCTCTTCATCACCCTTCATCATCAGAATCATCAAACCCTAGTCGAGTTTTACGGAAGCCTGATTTGAACGAGTACCCCGAAAGTTCTGATGAAGATTGAAACGGTATAAAAGTACTGATGATGATCATAAACTCAAAAAAAGAAACCGAAAATCAACAACTGTCCATAGGCACCACTCTTTTTTTTTTTTTCCTTATGTCTTTTGATTCTCATTGAATAGCAAGTGCCAAAAGAACAGAATCAATAATAAAAAAAAGGATTGATTTTGTTTGATAAGGTTATGTTTTACTTTGGGAATACAAAAGTTAGTTCATGGCTTGTAACTTGTAACATGGACAGTGATTAGTGATGAACAGGGATGGCTAGCTCTATATGGTCAGCTTTGCTTTTTGTTTTGGGTATTTTATACAATATTTCCTTATATTTATATCTGTATTTATGATGAAAAAAGTTAGAGAAATTCAATGAAAGAGAGGGAGGGGGCGTGAGATTAGAGAGGATAGCTATGGAAAAAGAAAAACAATGGCGATGGCCTACAAGCTTGTGCCTCCATATATTTTAATTAGTTGCTAAAACCAAACAAAGTAGATAAGGAGATAAGGGTGATACACTAGAGAGAACCAAGTACGGTACTTGGAAACTTTGCTTGGACACCACAAAAACACAGCCAAATTAGAGAGAAGCCCCACAAAATGAGAGAGATAGAGATTGGTCCTTTGAATCAGCAGGGGAGGTTGTCACCGTCATGAACGGTGGTGGCTTACGAAAGGGTTTGTTTGGTGGAAGTTGATAGGTGACGCAAGGTGGGCGGTAAGTGGGCTTTTCTGTTTCTTTCTTTTTCTTTTTTATATATTAAAGCTAACGTAAGTTGATGCTTGTCTTTGGAGGTTTGATTTTTTTGTTTTGAATTTCAAATGCGGATAGACGAAGGATTAATGGGACCTTGATTTTCTTTTGTATTTAATGAGACCCAACATTTAACATGTTAACCATTGCACGAAACCCTTTTTTTTGTTGCTTTAATTTGTTATGGACGGTTGATTTTCTATCTGTTCCTGGTTGTTAAATCCAATCAGAATTTTGCCTTCAGAACGAAATAGGAAAAGGCTAAACCAAAAAGCAGACAAACAGTTTAATAAGGCTAACTTGCTGATGGATCTCTAACCAAAAAAATGGGAAAAAACAATGAAAGCCTATCGTTTAGAAGATGTAAAATGTTTGAATCATGCGGGAAAAATTTAGATGAAGTTTTTTAGATGAATTTATAAAGTTTTTTTTATTAAAAATGATTAAATTAAAATTAAAATAAAAATTAAAACTAATAAATTGAAAGAACTTATTACATAAATTAAGTATATAAAATTTGAAAAAATTTAATAAATTTTTATATATATTTTTAAATAAATATTTTTAATAAAAATATTAATGAAATTTTTACTATTGAATAAATATCTATCAAATTTAAATTATAAATAATATTTTTTTATCATTTTATATATATTATTAATTATCATATTAAACTCTATCAATTTATTTATTTTAAATTTTTATTAAATCATTTTTAAAAAATTCACAAATTTTACCAAAAAAAACTTCTCATGAAAAATGTTAACCATTGCTTATTAGCAGTCATTAAGGAGTTTCTTTTTTCCATCAGTGATAACATATGGGAGGACATAATTTAGGTCGAGATTTTTAAGTGAAATTTATGAAATATTTTATTAAAATATTAAAATAAAAATTTAAGTTTTATAAAGTTTGATATAATCATTTATAATAAAAAATTCAGCCAAATCTTGGCCTTACCCACGGAAAACCTCTAAACCAGGAATGGGTCAGTCAATGGCAGTAATAGAGTGGCTTGGCACTGGCCGACAACAAATTAATGTTGGTTGATTGAATTGTATGATTGCAAGTTACTCAAAGAGCCTATAAACCGACCAGTAGAACACAAATAAAAGAAGAAATATTGAGCCATGTTACCAAACTATTATAAAAATACTCCGCCAGATTGTATGACATAACCAGTATGCATGTTTCTCTTTTCCTCTTTCATTATTATTTTGGCTATTAAAAAAATTACTGTGCCATCGTCTCTTCCAATCGTTCTGATCCATTAGTTTTAAAACTACACGAAGCCACCATAACCAGGTTGTCTATTACAGTTACCAGGTTGTCATCCTCGTACATAACTGACTTCAAACGATACCATTCACCAATCACCACCGAAATCCCAAAGTGGAGACCCTATTTTAAAATTAATCACCAATGAGAGAAACAAAAGTGCACATCATAAGGATATAATTCTTCACCTGTATGATATCATACATGATTATTTTGGTTTAAACACAGCCTTTGCAAATGACATCAGAAAAAGTTTTGTTTATAAGTTAAAATATTTGTATCTACAGAGACAGGGATAAAATATGATGTCGGTCGGTCCAATGAAATTACAGCTATGAAATTGATAGTTTTATAGAATGTGCATTTAATGCAGATAGAGATGTAGTTGTAAATGAGACAAATTACAAGACGAAAAATTTATAATGCTAGCTTCACCCCACATGCTGCAGATGACAGCTCTTCACTGTCAAAGTTTTGTCATGTTCAAAACATTGTCTTTCAACTGAAATGCATTAGTATACTTTTCTCTTCTTCACAATGAAATGTCGCAGCAGCTGATTAGTTGCGGATGAGGCATGCCAGTGACAGCAACAAGATGGCAATCTAGCGTGATATAAAAATCTTCGGTAGATCGAGGACATTCTCAAGAAAATGACAGATACATATATATGAGAATGCATATATATACCACAAAGCAAATGGAATCAAACAAAGACAGTAGGTTTTCATAGGCTTTCAGTTCAATCAAAGTAACTATAGCATTTGTAATAGGGAATATATAGATATAGTAACAGGTAAAGTATGCTATATAAGAACAAACCACTCAAGATAAGGTCTAGGGTTTTACAACTTAATTTATCACTTTTCCCATGAGTAATTCAAGTTTTTCCACCTTTTTAAGAGATGTGGAGAGAAGTTAAATGACATTGTTCCATGAAGATGAAATATGTAGAATCAACAAGGCAGTAGAGACATGGACTACAGAGTAAAGTTGGACAGAAAAGAGGCTAAAAGGGTGAGTATTAATTTCTATCATACTACGCTTAGCATGGAATGCATGCATATTATATATATGATATAGAGGGAAAAGAATAATCAATTGTTTAAGCAAATGGAAAAGACCTCAAAGCAGATAATGGATCGAACCAAGGATGCTATTAGAACTAGATTGTATAGGCTTAATAGGATTGCTGTGGATGTTACTAGTAAGGATCTTTGTGATGTATGAAGCTTTAATGTTACTAGGTTAGAATAGGCTGATATCTTGAATAGACTGATAATTAATTTATTTTTTGATTACTTGTAAAGTTGTGAATTATTATTTACTGTAACATTTCACTGCTAACTTGGATAAATGAAATTCAGATTTATCCAAAAAAAAAAAAAAGAAATGTATAGTTGATACATGATTCAAAAAATATTTCACAATTTTGGCATCATGTAACACCAGTAACAGCAGAGATGCCGGCAAATAATCAAGTTGGTTGAATTTATGTTAAGTCGAGTTAAAAATCTTATTAAAGGAGACTCTATCAACATCAAGCCACGTGTATGAGAAGCAGACAAATTACGAAAAGAATTTCTCTTGTCTATTAGCTTTCCAACGTTGTCATGACCAAGAGAAAATTCATATCCACAGCAGCAACTATAATTTCACCCCACTGGCAACCAAAAACAAAAGAACAAGTGGAATTAGACAAGTGCTGGGTTTATTTCATTTGCAACGAATCTGCGAGCCCAATCTGAATATAGTTTTGGGCTTTTCAGATTCTTATTAATTGGGTAACTAAGCCCAATAACAACACTTTCTTTGTGGTCCTGGTTAGGCCTGTCTTTCGTTGGGTCTTTTTATGGGGTCCAAAATCTTTTTGCTTCAAATGAAAAAAAAAAAAAAAAGCATGATCGAGCTTTTTTATAACATAAAGTTTTGGAGAATTGTTTAATTCACTCTATTTCAAAAACAAAAAAATCAGCCACTTTATTTGTTTACATACATAAATCAAACAATGATTTGGCATCATTTAATGCATTCACCTTTACCCATATGAGAATAAATTTTTTGAAATGTTGGGAGGAAGGAAGAGGTAGATTATTGAAATTTGCCTTATAATTAACTATGAAAAACCTAACAAAGCAATTCCACAATTAGTGAAGAACAATAAAACCCTTTTAATTTAATTAAAAAAAATGGGGGTTCATAGGGTACTAACAGCCATGTATTTAGAATAGGAGTGAATTCTTTTTTGGTTTCATATATACTTAACTCTCCTAATGATGTACCATGCATTTACAATGCCACTATCATCTAACTAATCACCTACCAAAGCAGCAGCTGGAGATTTATTAATTAATGTTATTACTTTGATAATTGCTAACCTTTTGTGAGGAACTGCTTATCCACTTCTTTATTTATTGCTTGATAACCTTGTTATGCTATTGACTTCCATCCTCAACTGAAAATTTTAGCACAGTCAATAACATTTAAGATTGAAAGTTTACAAGTGAATCTTCAGCGTTTGTGCTTAATGGTTAATAAAGTTTAAGAAGATATGTAAGTTGTGAATTCGAATCCCACCATTACTATCTTATCTCCTATCCAATGGACAAAAAAAAAAGTTTACAAATGAAAATTTTAAGATTAAAACTTAATTTATAATTCAAATTTCGTTAATTCATATAACCATATTTAAAAAATAACATTTAGCAAATTTATAATTCAAATTGTAATACTTACAATATTTTTATTTTATCTTTATTTTACCATCTCCTTTAAACATATATAAGAGAAGAAAAAGTTTTGGAGAGTAGGAAGAAAAAGCAAAGAAAGAATATAAAGCAAAGGAAAGGAGGGGAAGGAAAAGTTTATACAGTGAGGGTCTTTCAGTGCCATCATTTCAAATTAATTTTGCTAGGACTGTCATCCATTTTCTTAATTTCAACTCTATTGGAACCAAATTCGTTTTCCTGTATATTTGCACCCACTTTCGCTTACACGACATGACAATTTCTCACCATGCTATCATGTTCCTTACCTATTCTTTTTTCTTTTCCCTTTTTTTCACTACTCTTTCTCCATTAAAAAAAAGGGGTAAAGGGGAAACCGAAAAAGAAAAAGCAATGAGAATTACACTGTAGAACCCAAAGTCATGATCCTATAAGTTTATATATAAAGAGATACCCCATCTCTAAATCTAGTTGGGAATATTTTCGTTCTAAACAATGATGCGTTGCTCTGCCCACATTTTCGCTTTATTTGGAGTTGGGTCAGTAAAATAAACAGTACCATTCCATCCCTTTCTATGAATTTCCAAGCTGAAAAGGTTTCCAAGAAAAATGAAAACTAATAGAATAGAAGTGTAAAGTCATTTGCAAAAGTGGGTGAACGTGACACGTCTTCTACATTTCAATTTTTTTGTGATTCTAATTGCTGCCACATGTCATGACTTGTCCTCCTACCGACATACCATTAGCCTATGGACCGCCCGTTTAGATTGATTATGAACTGCCCAAGCACAAATTTATCAACTTTCCTAGTCTCATTCTTTCCTATGCATAGATATCTATGCATGCTAGACTTTCAGCTTTATGTTTGATTGTTCTGAAGTACTCTACTATGATGGATTATGTGGGTTTAAATTTTGCATTTTCATGAGATATGCTCTTGATATTTTGTAACAGTAAGAAGCATGAAAGGTTAAAACTATCCCATGCATTTAAGGGTAAACATTAAGATTTGTTTGAGTGGGATTTGAAAGAACCCATAAGGTCATTGGGCAGGCCACAAGCCTCAAAGGCATGTACAGTTGAATGCTTGAAAAAATTAGAAAACAATCGACCCCTCCTTCAAATAGAATCTTGAATAATTTACAAATATAGGCGAGGTAAGTCTTTTAAAATTGACACGAAGGCTTGTACTAATCTTTTAAAATTTTTTTCTTTGTAGATATGAAGAAGTCTAATAAAAAGAGAGCGAGATTTAATTTTAAACCCCAAACCTTCCTAATTAGTAGAAGAAACA